GCCTCAATGCTCACTAAAAGCAAGCCGAGAGATACCTCCATTCCTTAAGAATAGACGCAGTGGCATGGCATACGTGTACGAGTGCGTGTCCGTGAGTGTGTGGCTGGTCAACAACTTCATTGAGGAATCTTGTCTTTTGGAAGCGTATGGAAGTATCAGGCTCCATACGATCTAAAACCCCATTTTGACGGACCTTATGGTTGTTGCCAACCGTAAAACTTCTCTTGAGAGGACTAAATGGACAGCAATGCCATAACCAGACATCTCAGACAACCAAAAAACTCACCTCAGTTTTTCCAATACAAGTATTTAGCTATTTAGAGCCCCTATTTTAAAGAAGGGTTAAGATCTAAAGCATGTTGCAATGTTTCATCCAACACCTGGAGATGGAAGATCATGCCAATAGAAAATGTAGACATGGCGAGCCATATTAACTGGCAGGCTGGGCAGGGACAACATTAGTTACAGTAGTAGAGAAAAGGGCAGAGATCCAGAGCAAATGTAGGAAAATCTATCAATTTGACAAATATCAGTTGTCTACCCTAGAGATATGGAAAAAGAAAACCAGCCACTATTGAAAGAAAGCCAGATGTAATATTTGGAGTTAGTCACAAGGTTTGTCCAAGGCAAGGCAGACGTGTGTTTGGGTAAGATGACACAAAAATGGCCTAAATGAAATAACAAAATAAAAAAAACATGGCAATAAAATGAATCATGCAAGCTACATGGAGTTCTTGAGTAGGGGTAGATAAAACCCAAAATAACTTGCTGTGGTAAATGTACTGAAAGATGGTCCTACCAAAAGAAAATAATGTAAGGTTAATACAAATGCCGGTCTCATCATTTTCATTTGTAAAATATTTTAAATGCAAGTATTATATTTTGTCCACTTCAACAGGCTCAACGAATGCCTGTTGCAAGGTGTTTTAAAGAAAAAAACTGCTAGTATTTCTGTATCTACTGCTGGCAATGTTTGTAGGCTTATCTAAATAAACAAGAACAAAAAAGCAAGTCTAAAATACACAAACTTATCTTTGTTCATCCTTTCTTCCAGCTGAGGCTACAGTAAAAAGAAGAAGAGCTGAACGAGCCCCAGAGGCTGTGAAACCCCAGTGACGGGTAGCTGTAGCTGGGTAGCAGAGGGTCAACAGACGGGTCCAGAGATGGAGCTCAGCTGGCACTTAGTGCGTGTGAGCCACTTACAGTTGATACCGCCATATAGCGAGAGGAGGAGAGACGAGAGGAGGAATGAGGCTGAGAGTCTGGTAAAAGTCCAGGGCAGTGGAGGCACCACTCCAGGGGCCGAGAGGAACATCTGTGCCCCATTTAGCATTTTATGATGTTCTATCCATTTAATACCCCATTTGACTCTATCTATCCATCTATCTATCCATCTATCCATCCATTCATCCATCCATTCATCCATCCATTCATCCATCCATTCATCCATTCATCCATCCCTAGCGCTCCTTACAGGCTGTTAAAGGGCGTTGCCCTATGCCACAGAGGTCTCAACAGGCTAAACGGTGAGTTCAAGGATCCTGACCAGGTGTTGCCTTCTGCAGTCATATCCCTTGGGTTTAAAATGCTCACCCTGCAATCGACCCCACACCTTTCTTCAACGCCCTGTACTTGCCCATTACGACACATAACCACACAGAGACACACTCGTGCATGAGCCTCTCAGCCGCCAAGCGACCTCCGACTCCAGAAAATCGCTGGCAGCCGGCGTCAAGGCATCCTTATCGTCTCCCTGTTGCTTCTGAAGAATTTAATAAAGAAAGTAAGCGATGTCGTGCGAATGTGTGTGCATCTCTCGGGTAGCAGGTGGCCAGTGAAGCGAGACAAGAAGATGAATGGAGGGAGCAGAAGAGCAGTGAAGCCTGGTTGGGCCAGGCCATGGGGGACAGGATGCCAAGTCATTTATTAGAGGCCAAACACACACCTTACCTTCCATAAATGCAAGCAAATGCAATTTTTTCCCGCCAACAAGCACACTCATCCGCACACTTTCTGTCACATAGACGTACACACATACACACGTCTTCACGCTCCCAAAGGCTTTAACAGCACAAACACACACACTGACCTAGTATCTACCACTCGCCATTCATCTAGCCTAAGTAGAGCAACACTAGCCACAGACTAAATCTTTCAAACTTAGTGCGGGTGACTTTCTGTGCGTGTGATGTCTAGCTCAAGGCCTGCCTACGATAGGCTGAGCCCCTCTTTCTGTTTCAAGATGTTTATGGTTTTCTGACCCATTTTGTGCCTTTGTCCTCTCTTTCACATCCCTCCTGGTGTTAATGTTCCGACGCTATGAATGTGTGTGTGTCATTGATCCAGCTGGAAGCAGTGTGTCTGTGTGTATGAGCAGTAATATTCCAGGCCTTTCATAATGATTAAAGCCTTCATTAAATTTTCATCCCAACCTGCTGTTTGCAGCTAATGGCCTTTGTGAGCCATACAGCCAAACAATAGCTAGCCGGGCAAAGAAAAGGGATTTCTATCAGGGGTTCAATACCGGCCCCCTCATCATTTCTCTCCCCTCCAACCCGTCCATTTCCCCTTTGCCACTCGTCTTCTTTTCTCTTGCTTCCCTTTTCTCTCTTGCTTGGCCTGGGTTTATATATATATATTTTTTTTTTGTTTTATTTTTCTGCCTGCGTGTTGGGTCTGGAGGATCTTTTATTAGCGCGTTTCATTTAATCGTGCGGCTGATAATGCTCTGGCTTGGTTTTGATGCCACACTGCTGTGGCACTGTGCTAATGGGGTCTGTGAAGACACTGCTCTTTCTCTCCATCGCTTTCCTCTCCTTCTCACTCTTTTTCTTTCCCCTCGCACTGCCCTGGCTGAGTCATAAAGATCCATTATTGTTGTTTTTTCCCTTTGCAGCCAGTTCACGAGGTCCAGCGAAGCAGCGAACAACCCAAAACACACCTCAATTACAGTTCAGCTCAACAAACAGACCATTTTTTTAATTTTATTTTCTTTTTTTGTAAAATGTGCCACAACAGGGTTCTTTATCGGCTGGAATAAAAACAACCAGACGGCAAAAGCTCACCAGCTGCTTTGAGAGCCTTACAAAAACAGAGCAAAACAATGTTACGACATCACAGCTTGAAATAAAAGCCTGTTGATGTAGTGGGGTGCATAACACGTATAAAATGCACCTACCCTCACTGCACTGCAGTGCTGTTCTTTCACCTTTTGGGCTTGATGTCATTTGAGCTTGAAGCTGTGTGTTAGAGGATGCTTGAGCGCAGCACAACAGTGGCTTTGAAAGTAAAGGGAAAGTCTGGCTGCTTAGAGTATAAGAAGGAAAATCAATTTTTAAATCGTTTTTTTTGTTTGTTTTTTTATTAGGTCTTTGTAGGTCTGCTTCCTTTTTAGTAAACTAGATTCTTAGATGAAGCTGTAGCCGTAGTAGCCGAGCTTGTACCTTGTCTTTGCTGTTGCAGGAGCTGTTTAGTTTATTCATAAGCTGGTTCCCTTGGGTCTCCAGGCTCTATAGCATGGATTTAACTGTCAAGTTTTAGTAGGATTTATGGCCTTTTGAACTTTTTAGCAGTTGAAATCACAAATCTCCCTGTATTATATTAATTGTATGGGGTTACAGATCAACAGAAAGTTGTGCATAAAATATCGCTATATAATATTGCAATCATAAAAATTATTTTCCAACCTTGTTATATAAACTATATTAGATTTGACCTTTAAACACATATATATGCTCTAAATTGGGGCTGTAACTAACAATTATTTAGCAGATCGATTAATCTGTCAATTATTTTTTCAATTAATAATCGGATAGAAAAATTATCCTTAAAGAAAGTTTTTACGAAATGAAATCAGGTGAAACTTAAACTTTTCCACTTGGAGAGTTATGAATAGAGCATATTGAGCGATGAAAAAGTTTATCTTAAATATCAAAATATATATATTTTTTTTACATTTTTGACATAATTACTAATCTAAATGGTTTACTCTGTCAGCTAAAGTCATGATTTAAAGTGTCTATACTACAGTTGATTAATCAATTACTATATTGATTATTTCAATAATCAATTAATCACAATTAAATGTTTAAGCCCTAGTATAAATTGAACAATTTTAATATATTTTTGCTTTATATTCTAGTTTTTTTTTTTTTTTTTTACTTTTGCAGCCTCTGTTATGCTCTGTGACTTAAAAGAAAAACTGGATTCAAACACTGCCAGAGGATAGTTGAAAAGCTGATATTTTCTTAGAATATGTCCCAAGAGGTAGCATGGTGTCATAAAGCGGTCTTCCTAAAAGAGAAAGACACCCATTGCCGAGATTTATATCACATTCCGATTGTAAGATGCATTCCAGGGATTTTAACACCATTTATCCACTCGTTATAAATGAGCATTAGCCATGGGCTAAATTTATCTCTTTGCATGACTCCAACTAGTAGCCTGAGGCTCTGCTTGGGAATAAATTGCGGAGGCTACGGGAGCAAAGCTCTGTGGGCCCCTGCCAGAATTCTGGTTCCACTTTCCAAGAAATCTTTATCTAAGTGCTTTAAATCAATCATCACCAATGTTGGGGAATGGGAGGGGGCTTGAGGTGAGATGCTTTTATTTCTGCAAGATGAGTCAATCAGACAAACTCATTTATGAATGTCTGTTGTTGTAAAAGCAGGAAGCATTTGGAGAGTTGTTAACACATCCAAGTATTTTTCAAGTGGCCAGCGTTCGCACATGAACACATGCATGCGAGTGCACATCTTACTTGTCAGGTTTTGATAAATATGCAAAGCATAGCGGACAATAGACCCAAGCAGCTGAAGCTGTCATTTCGTATTCCGGATAAACAAAGGCTCTACTCTTTTCTGAACACGAGTGGGTTCAGTGCAGAGTATATGATGAGGAAGCACAGAGAAGATAGAAGAAGAGGGAAGGAACAGCAGAGGGTGATAAAAAGCGTGGCGCCGGGCCAGAGAAGCTGAAACATCTGGGCTTTCATCACTGACCTTCTGGCTCGTTTTTGATCAGTTCTTCCATCTTGCGCTGTTTCAGTGTGTCCACAACATCTGCCAGGCTGCCCTTGCGTCTCTCAGGGGTCCCCAGGGTACCGGTCGCCGTGCCCCCATCGCTGCAGGGGCGCCCCCCACCTCCGCTCTCCTCTTTGCCTGGTGAGGTAGCATTATGCTGTGGGTAAGGGCTCAGGGAGCTCCCCTTCATGCCCTCATGCTCCTGCAGGAAAGAGAGGATCAAAAATGAAGACATTTAATCAGTTTAGAAATACCCCAAACTTGAAGATGTAAAGCAACTGTAGATAAAGAACATGATGATGAGATTGGGGAGGAGCTAGAGCAGACAAACTCATTATCTCCACCCTTCTTTCCATCTCTTTATTCCTCCCATCTCCTGTTCTTATATCCCAATGTAGCAACTTTCATCTCCTGCCAGTTATCTCAAGTTAGGGCACATTTTTACTGTCTCTCTCGCCTCCTCTGGAATCTGCATTTGACTGATTTGGAGGTAGTTGACAGAACGGGCACATGAAACAACAGCGAGACACTGATTGTGCTCTAAACTGTCAACGCTAACTCTTAATCACAAAGCTTTCCATCGCGCCGTTTGAGGGACGTCCAGAGGCACGCAGCTTCCACATCGCGAGCCCAACTTTTCGTCACTAAGACTCATCATAGCGAATGCTGAGGCTGCATCCCCAGCAAACAGAGAGAACGGCAAACAACGGTTTCCTTTTGAAAGAACAAAACTCTGGAGAGGTGTCAAATGATTTCCATTAAAAAAAAAACTTTCATGTACACAGTGCGGGCTAAAGTAAAGCTCTTTGCCTTTTTCCAAGTTTTCACCAGGACTAATTATCCGTCAGTGTTGTTTCTTTCACATTTGAAGTACAATGACCTCTTGAATTTCAAGAACATTTTCTAACTGAGCATCTGTGCAGTTTGTAGCCAGATATTCTATTATAATGACTTAATATATAACAAGAACTTTGTTTCCTTTTAAAACAAAAACTTGGACAAAGTTAGATCATTAGCATGTTTATTTGATTTTTGCAATTCAACAAACTTCAATCAACATTTGGTGACTTTATGCAGTTGATCAATTTACATTACAGCTAAATTTTGATTTTATGCTGCATTGGTATTGAGCATCATTTATTCTGATACCCATAGAAAAAAAAAAACTATTTCCGTGTGATAAAATTTAACCTCAGTTTAAAAACCAAGAACTGACCATTAAGAGCACCAAGAAATACATTTTAGGAGACAGATCAGAGAGAAGCAATGATCCACAGACCATAAGCCATGAAAGAATTTAAAACAAACATATGGAGAACATATGTGAGAAAAAGATAATCTAACTCTGGCCGACAAAAACCCTACATTGAAACACGGTGTCGGAAGCATCATGTTGTGTGGATCCTTTTTTTTTTCAGCAGTTACAGAGACGCTGGGCAGAATCAATGTAAAGGATGGAGCTTTAACATTGCAGCCATGAAACTGGTGCTTTATTTGCCTGCTCTTCACAATTAGGTAAAACTTCCTTCTGCCGTGTTGCAATACATCCTCACAAACATTACATAGAACTTTTGCAGCTGTCAATTTTGAGGCATTGTTGTACATTCATTGTTGAACCCTTGCTGTTGTTATGTTTGCTTTCCTTATTTAAGTATCCGTTTTTCTAACTATTTATTTTTAATTATATTAATGTTTGTCTATTTTGGTTTTATTTAAAATATTAGACATTTAATGCACATTTGCAAATAATCTATTTAATAGGTTTGTATTAAAAAGGTTTAAAAAAAGAAAGTATTGTAAGTACTGTTTATTTATTTATTTTGTATTAATACATTACCATAGTGAATTCATTTATAATATTCACTATAACATTAGAGTGTGACATTTGTGTCAGTAATGTTCTAGTATAGGTGATTCTGCATGGTGGGAGAGGGAATCAAATTCAAAACCAAATCAAATTCTGCTTAGGGCCCCCAAGAGGCTCGGGTTGGATCTTTCAGTCACAATGTGTTTGCCTGAAGTCGCTACGAACTTTGAAGCTTGAACCAATCAACAGCAGGTGAAGGCAACAGTAAGTAACTATTAGCAGGTTAATCTTCGGCCTGGTAAAACCTGTGTTTGTTTCTACAGCCGGCATTATGGGCTTAAGGCCTGCTCAGGCCAATTAAGGGCGACACCAAGAGGGAGGACACTGCTGAACACACGCAACTAGAACAATGCAGTTTTCTGGTGTAAATGGGTACTAAACACACAGAGCGCCCTCACTCTTGAACTCTGACACGTGAAGGTGTGCGCTGGAATTCCAACTACAAATGAGTCAGTAAGTCAATCAGACAGCCAGTCTGTCAGCTCAGCTCTTTGTGATCACGAGGGTCAATGGTCCACAGGGTTAATCTTTGGCTAATCTTGCTACAGTATAGGGCATGCCATCTGAGACAGCAGCACAGAGACTCTGTTTAATGCCTTGGTTGGATTTTCTGCACTGGCATTCCAGGTGTATGAAATATAATTTGACGGATAAACTAATTATTGACTAAAAGTGCAGGTGGATCACAGTCAAATATGAGGTCATCCAGCCTGCATCTTTACAATGAATTATTCTACTTCTTATATAAGAAAATATATATATATTTAAAGAAGGGAATAAGTATTTCTTTTCTCACTGGCTTTCAACAATGACAATGCTTTCATTGTCTATGGCAGGGCTCCATAAGAGAGGTCCAGAAGAGCATTATCACTTGGCATTTTCCACACCTCACTGACTCTCTCACTTTAGTTTGTTGTGTTTCCACACTCTGAATAAGTCAGCACGTTCAATAATTCCTCCATCCTCCCCTTGACGTTCTTGCACATGCATCGTCCCAGATGGACAGATTGTGACTGCAGCTATAAGGATGCAGGAGTTATGTACGATCTGCAGAGAACTTGTTGGCACCCCTGCTAAGAATGTGCAAAAGCTTAAATGCAAATGGTTCTATAATTTCAATGCATTTATTCAGTGGTAAGAAATTCACAATAAAGGAATACATTGTTTAACAAAATCACAAGTGGCACAATCATTAATGTCACAAAAAAATATTATTACCTGCTTTCTGATATATTAATGTAAAATTATCTTTCACTATTGCTCTTAATCGTCTGCAGCTACGACAAAAAACAGAACCCCACTACTTTAGGCCACATGGCTCCAAACTGGCTGTATCTGGTTTTCCTATGAACGATAAAACAGATGATAAAAGGTTTGAAAATAACTTTGCTGTTGCAGGACAGGAGCAAAAAAAGTTGCACCCAGGGGTCATCAAGTCTAAACAGCAACCAATAGACATTATCCAATTTTTGGAGATGGTGCAAGTAAAGGGACCTTTCTGTTCTACAATCTCAAATATAAACATGTAGAGATTAATTAAACTAAATGCACAGACTGAGGTTGAAATAGAGCAAAATGACTTCAGCTTAAAGCAAAGAACAGGCATCTCATGCCTTTGATTAAGCAGGTTTTGAGGATATGTAAAGCTGTAATCCAACTGCCATGAGAATTTTATAAGAGTTATTATAATGAACTCTTGATCTTAAACATTGACATGGCTTGTAAACATAAAACAAAGCATATTTTACATCCAAATAATGCCTCAGTCTTCAAGAAAACCAGTAGATCTAAGTAAACAGAGGAAACAAAGAGACTGAATGATCCATGCTTTAGAGGAAAAGTCAGAGATCGCTTTTTCTGTATGTTTAAATCATGTGAAATGTTATACAGTAGGAGACTAAACCCTAAGCTATTTAGAAGAAGTGATTGGTAGGAGTATTACCAGTAGTTATGCTAATATTTCCGGAGACAAAAAAACCCAAAAAACTATTGTTTCTGTTTTTAACTAGGAATGACTCTACGGATGACCCGAGGTCAACTAAAGCACTGGAGGTCTCTTCCATCGGTTCATTTCAATCCTCAACATTCATGTTTAGAACTGCCTCCAAATGCTTAAAAACACATTGATATTAGAGCTTTGGGCTGTCCTAGTTAAAGTCCAAATCTTCTGAGATAACAAGAGGCTGTTGATATGGGAGTGGTGGCTCAATAATTAGAGCATTGCACTTGGATCCCAGAGGTTCTGAGTTCAAGCCCCACTCCCAACGACTGCCACTCTGGGTCCCTGAGCCAGACGCTTGACCCCCACACTGCATCCCGCGGGCGGCGCACATTGGCAGCCCACTGCTCCCTGAAGGGATGGGTCAAATGCAGAGAGTGAATTTCATTGCTTTGTACTTGTGACAGTGTAATGACAATAAAGTTGAATTCTATTCTTCCATGTGTGTCGAATTTACAAATTTCTGCAAAAAAAAGTGGGCCAAAATCTCCCCCATGTGACTTTATCATAGCTGTTATTAGGTTTTAGAAGGGTTACTTTTCACACAAGTGTCCAGGTTGGTTCGGGTAACATCCATCTTTAATACCATTATTTCATCACTTCTTTTGTTAAATGACCCTTAAGCAAAACCTCTAATCAGAATCTATCAGCAGGTAAATCCCTTTTTACTCTGTACATTTCCTAAGGTTTTTAACAGCTCTACCAAGCGGAAAACAAGTTTGTATCTGAATATAATAGAAACACAAGGCTGTTAAGGCCATAAACACTGCAGCAGTCTTGTGATTTTAAAGCCTAAACGATTTTATACTTTCTCTCTAACCACCTGACCAGGTGGCTGCTCTAGACTCTCTTCTTTGCTGTCGTTTCTTCTATATGTACCAGATTAGAAGAGGAATCTGACTTAAAAAAGCGGATTTCTTTGGGATTAAGAGTTGCATCAGCAGCGGCTCGACATGCAAATCGAACAAAACAGAAGGAAGAAGCGTGTAAAAGTCAGAGAAAGAGAAACATCCAAAAACAAGAAGGAAAGAGAGAGAGAAACGCGGTGTTATTAGAGGAAAGGAGAGAGGTGCAAGTTGAAAGAGAGTGAGGGAGAGAGATACAGGCAGACGGGAAGCAGGCGTCTTGAAGGCAACGGTCACACCTGTCACATCCCATTTATCTAATCCAGTGCCTGCTTAAAAGAGCCGCACTCTTTCTTTCGAGAAAGATGTTTCGCAAAACAAAACAAACAGAACAAGAATATGGAGGGGAGATGGAAAGCTGGGGGTTGAAGGGTTGTCGGATCTCTTTGCTCTGCTGTAAAAGCTGCCAGGGAGAAGTCATCAGGCAGCGTCCAACAATAAAGGTCATTTCCCAATCAAGCGGAATTAGCAGGGGAGCCGTGGCTCCTTCAAAGACTCGGTGCGTCAGGGCCCGAACTCTGACAGACAGCCTGATCCTGGAGGCATCCTAACATGCTTATGCTTCTCTGCATATAATCTATGCACCTCGCATAGACTAAACAGAGCCATCAAATATAAAAACAGACAGAAAGAGAGGTTTCTGATGTAAAGGGGTGTAATTCAGATGGGGTGAGCTCCACTCCTGCAGGTTGCAAAAACTTTTCTCATCAACATGCATTTATGCATGAGTACAAACAGAAATTTGGAGAACTGTAAGTGTTCATGCCCTCTGCTCAGTGCATGTGTGCGAGCAGCCTTTTTTTGCCATTCCTCTTGCTATATGTGTGACACCGGCAGTGCACATAGCCTGTAGGTGTGTGTGTGTGCATATATGTATTTATATGCACTGGAAGAGGCAGGCTGGCAGTGTGGGCGGTTCTGCCTTTAGTTTGCAGATGTCAATTCTCTTCCAAATGACTGGAACAAAGTAAAAATTGCGCCTCACTCTCTTTATCCTTTTACTGCCTCTGCAATGGAACCGAATTAAACAACTTTTGTCTTCTTAAGCTCATCTGAGAGGGGAGGATGGTTTAAAAACACTTTGCTCTTGCCAAAAAAAAAGGGAAGCAAAAAAAAAATAATTTAAATGCTATTTTTTCCAGCAGCTAGCACATATGCTGTTATTTATTCTTTAAAACTCCCTCAGTTTGTTACCCTTCCTCTTTTTCTGTTGCCCGACTTCTATTTTTTTTTTTTTTGGAACCACAGCCTGACATGTCTCGGGCTGTGAAAGGTGTACGCGTGAAAAACCATTTAATGCTTGGCGCGTCGCTGCGGATCAAGGCATGGACAATGTGGCAAGTAGGAAGAGCTGGAAACAGCTGCTCGTCTAAAACACACACACACGCTCACACTGAGCATGTCACTGATCGCTCCCTGCAGGGGGGTGAGACTCAGGTCTGCGCCAGGCCTGCCAATCTCCACGATAGACTACTTAACCTTTTCCAAAAATGCTGCTAACACACACATACGCACACGCAGAAAATCCTTTTACATGCCATGGCTAAACACAGACACTGTTAGGTTTGACTTTGGGGACCCTCCGGCTGGTACAACTGAGTAAACAGGCATTACAGCACTTTACTTATGGTTTTGAAGCATTATCACAACCAAAAAACATATATTGGAAAAAAAGTTATCTCTATTCACTTACTTTTAAATAAAGATAATAACGATTCTACCGCCTGCTTTCATCCAACAGCTGTTTTAAATAGCAGTTGGACTAAAAATCTACGCCAGTATATTTTACCACGACCCCTCGCTGTTGACAGGCAAGCGTGTGTTGATTCATTAGTGCATCACTGGCATGAGAAATTAAGTGTGACCACTGTGTCTCACGACTGCTCAATGGCTGTGTAAAATCTGTCGTACTCGCATGAACACACACATGTAATCACACATCGAAACGATAGGAGGGAAGAAAAAAAAAAGAGAGGAAAAGGAGCGTTTGAATAAAAAATAACGCTCGATGAAAGATCGTCATAGTTCTCCGCCGTGTAAGCAGGCGTCTCGGCTGTTAATGAAATAATTTGCGCTCGTCCATTAGCACGTTTATGAAAGAAGATGCTCGCCTCTGCCTGATGTGACAACAATTTTTTTGCAAAGATTTGCAAACATAAACATAAAAGGAATGGAGCAAGATGTCAAAACCTCCAAAAAGCTGCACCCAGGAGTGACTAGGGAACAATAATTATCGGTTTCTTTCAAATGCAGCTCTTTTGTCTTCATCAGTACAGTTGTGTTCTATCTGGGCTAAATTGCTTACCTACCTGAGCTGGTAAAGTGATCAATAAGCTCCCTTTTTAGCTCTTAACTGCGCCACAAGCAATGACCAGTAAGGGATTCCACTTTTAAGATAACTTTAAGCCAAAATTCCATGATTTTATGGTATGTACATAAATGTTTTTAGAAAAGCATACATAGGGCAGGACTGCTTTTATTTAAAACATTTTTTGGTTTCAGCTTTCACATCAAGACTATCCAAGACTTTTAGGATAGGAAACATTTTCAAAAAGCTACATTTGTCTAACTTTTAACCAAGAGATAAGTATCCAAGTGTATGTATGCCTTTTAGCACAACAGGTGGGGGAGGGGCTAACTTATGCAGCTTAATCTACAGAATGAACTTTATACCATTTGAACAATTGTATAACTTCATACAGGTATAGCAAATCTCTTGGTCCTATTTGTCTTTTTTCTATTTTGGCAACTAGGATTTTTGTGTATTTTTTAAATGTACCTACACCAGCTAACAGGAAACAGTCAGTTTGATGTTATATTTAATTGTTTTCGTAAAATCGTAAAGTCCATTCTTCTTATATTCATTAGGAGAACCACAGCGGTAGAAACCCAATTTTTCTTTAAATAGTGGTATACAGGTAAAGCAGCGGAGCTAAAGGCCAACAGGCAGGCAGAATGAAGAGGTCAGTGTGTAGCTGAGCGCATCTCTACCACCGCGCTAATTCACTATGACAAGATAAAGCTGTGATCTCACCCCCCTCCCCTTCCCACACCCCTCTTACTGTCCCACTGCTGCCTCACTTTCAAGTCAACCAGCGGCAGATGAACCGTTTACCCCCCCTTCAATCACTCACAACTGCTTTAGAGAGCAAGAGACTCCCATTCTCATCCCTCAGGGTACTGCCCCCCCCCAATCAGCAATTGGAAATCTCTTCACTTTCATTTCCTTCTCACTCCCATCCACTGACAGAAAACATGGGATTGGCACTGTTAACTTCATAAAAAACAGTAACCAACTCGCTAAATCAGAAGCCGGTCCCCTACCATCCAAAAATGACACAGTCGTGGATCCCTCTGAAATCTCCTCTTTCCAATCCAAGATCAAACATATATAAACTCAGTCTAAATGAACCTGGACTAATCTAACCATTGGCTTCAACAACAACAGATAACCCAGTGTGTGTGCAGAGTTCCTCCCCAGGCCAGGACTTTGGTTTACAGTCAGCACCTGCCACACAGGCAGAGTCCATGGAGCCTGGGAGGGGCCCATCTAATCAGAGGGTTAATTAAAGAATTAGCTTTCCATTACAACTCCTAAACACTGTTTATTGTTTTATAGCACGTAAGTGTTTATTGTCCGGATAGGGGGGAAAGGTTGACAACCCTTATCTGAGTGTGTGTGACAAGGTGTGCATTTGGCCAAGGGAGGTAAAGTTGGCTCACAATTGATTTCATAAAAATGGTTGGATTTCTTCCATGCTCAGTGTTCTAAAAATACACACGGTTTAGCCAAAGGTGTCATAAATGACATGAACCACAATTGAATTATATAAAAGTTGAATTCTAATGCCAAAATTTGCTGTGTCAAGATGTTTAGAATATCATGACAATCTAAACCACTTTTACTACTGTACTGCTTTAAAATGAAAATGTGTAAAGCAGCAGACCGCAGGCTAGCTTCCCTACCAGCTATCTGAGCAATTAACCAGCTAATATGAGCTTGATATACTTCTGTTCAGGCATTGATTTGTGATTCGTAAGACTAAGTTATTGTATCATAGTATTATCAATACCTAACCTTTAACCTATATATATATATTCTTGGTCAGTTTGATAACTAGAAATAAAGCAGTTGGGCGAGGGGAGTGCTACAAACTGACACCAACTTTGGCATCTTAATAAAATTCTTTAAGCCATGAGAATAGTTTGTTAGATGATTGTATTGCTATCAAGAGTTTGATTTGATTAAAACCTTGACAGATAGATTGATACCTACTGCCACCCTATTGTACATCAAATGGACTTAAAGGAATGGTATACAAACATCAATAAATAAATAAATCTTGACTGTAATCAACTCCAATCTACAAATTGCTGTTTGTAAAAAAAAGAGTAATTTTCTTCCTTTTTGAGTCCCTATGTGAAGCATAAAGTAATAATTTGCTGGGTGTTTTTCTTGTTGTGTCCCATGTTGGTGTTTGAGTAGTAAATATGTGTTGGACATCCTAAACAACATCCTGAAAGTAAAACTAGCTTCTGAAATCCACAACCCTCCATGATATGCAAATAAATGAATATGAAATTCCCCAAAACTTCATCTCTTTTCAATAAAATCCCTTTAAACTATGACAAACATGCAAGGTCAGGGAGGTAGATTTCTAGCTGAATAGAGCCACAAATGAAAAAAAATTTCCATCCAAGTTTATTTGCCCTTATTTCTTTTTTTTTCCCTCTTTTAACCTCGCAGAGGAGGTGCTTAATGAAACAGAAGGCACCACATCTTAGTGGTCTGAACCGAGGTGTGTCGCCTCAGGTCCAGGTTAAACCCAAACTTTTAGAGACGGAGATGAGCTGATAATCAGGACCGTGGCCTTTTGGAAAAGCAACATCGGCTCTAGTCACCTTTTGATGCCGGCGTCTCCCATGGGTGCACACTTAACCTCCCAAAACCCAAACGAAAACTCCACTGGTGCCCTTACCGTGCTGGGGGGGCTGTCCAAGTGGCGGCTGGGGGGCGAGCGAGGAGACACCTTTCCGCAGTAGGAGGCCAGAGGGAGGTGGATGACACCGCCCAGTCCCTCGCTCTCCTCGTCCTCCACTCGCTGTCTGCTGGTTGCCATGGTTACCTCTCCATCTGTCCCCCCATATGGAGAGGCTGGTCGCTTGGAAGACATCCTGGAAAAGAGTAGGAGATAGAAAGACAAGGGAGAGGAGGGAAAACAAGAGGAAGAGTGAGCAATATTCGAAAGACGATATGAGAGGCAGACACATGTAACATGGAAGTAGTCCCTGTAGATACAACTGGTCTTCTTAAACTCCCCAATGGTATCAGAACAAGACTCGTTTTTAGCCTTTTTGTCTTCAGGTTCGAGCTCCCTCAATAGTCTCAAACTGCTCTAACTTCTTCTCTTCGGTATTTCAATAAATCCCCTCCAGTCAGCTTGTAAATCGCCCAACCGCCTGGCAGACCTTCAAACCTGCTCTCAGGTCTTACAGTATGTTTACCATGGGGGCCATTCAACATTCACTTTTCCAAAGGACAAGGCCATTACTGCAAAATGGAGCCATGTTGCACCGGCATTGTGGAGGAAATGACCACGTCTTGACAATAGCTCTTTTCATAGAGAAACACAGGTTGAGGAAGAAAGGGAGAAAAAGGAGTGAGGGCAGAATGTACAGTGACGATAATATGTATTTATGAAAACCTGTGGACAATGGAGGAACCGGAGGAAAATAGCTGGCAATATGACAGCCCCGCTGTTTGCATTTGTTATTGTGGCTTTGTTCCCTTGAAAAGAGGGAAAGGATATAAAGCCACATCTATTAGATGAACTCTCTCTCGCAAGGTAAATTTGCCTCCCTGTACTTCAGCTGAATAGGGATGAAGTGACTATGCGGCAATAATAGAATTTAATGTGGTTCTCAGCGTCGCCTGAGTGCTTTCAGATGCACTTGTCAGCCTTGAAGCCACTGCGACTATGACCCTGGGTAACAGGCTGCTAACGCTCAGCCGTATAGAGCCAACACATGACAGGAGATGCAGGAACTCTGGGAAACTGATTGTGTTGTTAAAAACAAGTAATAAGCAACAGGCGCTCAAGCTTCAAACTTCTCTAAACTTTATTTCCTTTGAATTAAAAGGCTTTTTTTGCCATCATCTGCGCATGTCTCTACCCTGCATTCATACTGCGCCGGTCTCTAATTGGCTCTGTCATCCTCCTCAGCCTTTCTCTCTCAAATTCTTCCCGTGCTCCCTGCTTGTCTCCGGTAAACTGATTACACTCTTGACTCTATTGGATTTCCTCCGGACTGTACATCTGGCATTCTTCCTAGGAGCAGCCCAGCCCCTAATTCATTGCTTATTTACCTTATGACAGTGGAAACGCAAACAATATTGAGTGCTGCTCACTAGAGTCGATGTAAAGCAGAACTTTATCACATCTCAGGAAGGTTAGTCAAAATAAATAAAGTACAACTTTTTCCTTTTTTATAAAAGGCTGCAGTTTAAAAACTTTCAATGTTTCCAAAGAGACTTTTACTGCAAAACTGACTGATGACAGATGAAATCTGTGGATAATATCAGATATTCACAGCAGTTTTAAATCATTTGCTGTCTCTAACAGGTTTTCTTCTTGCTTAATAGTAGCCTCCTCCCATCATAATGCTGCCATCGTCATGTTTCAAAGTGGTTTATTAAGGTTGTATTTAAAGAGTTCTGGACACCTTCTGTCATGTTTGCAGTGGCCTTTGTACGGCAATGGGATCTTAATTTCCATTGTTAAAAATTTACAACATATTTAAAAAGGTAACGGGAGGAAAAAAAACTGATGGTAAATCTTTTGTTAAAAATTTGCCAGGCCTCAATATACCTGTTTGATGGATTTTTATGCATCATATAAGGCCAGCTGAGGCACGCATGCTTAGAGGTTAAGTTAAGTGATGATTTATAACAATTATTAAAACAGTAGAATAAAAGAGAAACTAAATCAGAAGAGGCGTGATTGACTTTACAGAAAGAGTCTGGGTAGCAGCTTTAACTGTTAAGATTAAAACAGTTTTTTATCATTAATTAGAATGTTCCTTTCATTTAAATCCTTCTTTTATGACTTTATATGACTGGATTCCCGCTTCTTTAAACAACATGATGCTGGACTTGGAGTGATTGCACTCATAAAAGGACAGCATGTCCAGAAAAAGAACAAGTGTAGCAAGAAAACACATCAACAGGAACAGCTGATTTCTTTATCTCTTCTGGACGCTCCGCCTAGCTCAGCGAAAACCGCAGCCATAAAGGGCCGCTGGTGATTTTCCTTTGTCTTGATGACAATCAAAGCCGTATCTCTAGATCTGATTGACATAAAAAACTGAAAATGACTTGCACAAACAGTTATGATACTTGGGCTGTAAAGGGCGCGTGTGCTGGCGCCGGTGTTATGTGGCGTTTCCAATGCAAGCGGCAGACCCAGCTGTACAAACTGCCTTTTGAGCCACGCGGCACTCACACACACAGAGAGACACACATGTGTGAGCTCACATAGAACAGAGACCTGAACACTGCTGGTCTGTCTTCATCGCTACCTGTTTACTTTACCTCTTTTCACTCTCTCACACTAAGGCCTTTTGTACGGGACACAAACACACAGCCCCTTGTGCCCCTGCATACACCTCTGTCTGGCCATGAGCTGACACGCAGACCTGAGGTCAGCTCTGAATCCTCTAACCTTCCCTAGAGTTCCTCATGTTTGCTACAGAATGTCCTCCGCAAAGGTGGGAGGCTTTTAATTTGGGTTTTATAATTTTACTATCCATCATCTTACCACAGTAGCTCCCCTGGCTTATCCAAATGAACTGGAAATCCAAAGTTAAACATTAACACAAAAAAACACACGCATATACAGGGAAGGCAAGAACTGGCTACCAGTGTCAAGGTTTAAAACGTTGCGGTTTGCAAAACTGCAAAGATTTCCCGTCTTACTGCTTCAGGGGTTTAAAGAACTTTTTTATGGGAAGCCAGAGAAAATAAAGGACAGGTTTGAGTTTTCAATTGTTTTTTTTTTTTTTAAGAAAAGAGGGAAAAGCAGCACAGCCCCTCCCTTACCTGTTGCTTAACACAACCGGTTAGCTTTCTCGTTAACTTTGCTTTGGTTTACAAGAAAGATAAATTCAGCTGTTAAGAGACATGGCAATAAAAAAAGAGACGTTTGTAATGCTAAACTTAACTGTTTTTTTCACTAAAGTCTACAGCCTATATGTCCATCCCTGATCTATTGCTGTGCACTGCAGGTTATCCAGCTCAAGCAGGAAAAAAAAAAAAATATATATATATATATATATATATCTAGCTGTTTTAAAACTTGTCTGATCTACTCAGTGTAAGGCTCTCACATAAAGAGCAAAAAAGGGAAGAATTGCTAAAGTTCTCGTCTGCATCGTCTATCCCACCATCAGATGCTACAGATTGCTAGTAAACTGAACTTAAGCTGGGTTCTTAGAGTCCAAACATCACTCCTAAAAGGGCTGAATAGTGAAAACGGTTAATAATCTGCATGAAAAACGTTCATATGTTTAGTTTTTTTACTTAATACATGTTTAACTGTAGATGCAAAAAAAAGTTCTGACATCTTAGCAGTATAAGGAATAATTGTTGGATTATCAAGTATCAAAGATCAGATCTTCTTTCCCCTCCCCTAGCATCGCCACCTCTGCATTGGGGTACAGCCTGAAATGCTGAGGCCTTTCACAGCTCCTTTCTAACCGCACCCCCCCCTTCCTAATTTTTCCTTTGAAGTGGAATTACTACACAATTGAGCACAGCGGGTGTGCAGGTTACGCCGACTACTTCATTTAAAGTTTGGCAGGCCTGTCACACTGATGGAGGCCTGTAGAGAAAGCTGTGAGGATTTACTAAAATAAAAAAAAAGGATGCAGCTTTATTAAGCCGATAAATCAACATAGTTGTTCAGGTTATAATTGCAGCATATTTGCATAATTTTAGGTCTTGTTCTGCATTATAAATGCCCCCTGAAAAAAAAACTCTTACACCACGCACACACATGAAACGGCGCACACAGCGAGACGCTAAGCTGAGATTAAAACGCCACTTCCCCTTGGCTTTTTGATGATTAGTGGCTCCTCAACTAAGTCTCTCTCATAACGCATATGTCGTCCGCCGCTAAGTCAGTAATCGGACAGCGACGGACGTCCATTAACGGCCCAAGTAATCGGCATTGGCTGTGGTTAACCACTCACAGCGATCAACGCACACACTTTCTGTTGGCAAGAAGTGAGGTCGAGAACAGCAGTAAGAGAAAACGTCAAAGACAATGAATCAGGCAGGAGAGAAAGATTTGTTTAAGCATCACTGAGGGTGAGGGGGGGAGAAAAGACAATGCAATCGATGTAAAGATGTCTCACACACATACAGTACACACATGGTGTGTTTTGCTCAGCGTGTCTGGCTGCTAACATAATCATAGCGCTAACTGCTCTTGTTAACTCCTCTACTCTGAACAGGCTTTCAGGGAGCGTGGGAGCCTCCTCTGGAGAATTGCACAGTGGAGAGAGTGTGTGTTTTCTTCTTTTAAAATTAAAACTGATTGTTTTAGCCAGAAAAAAAAAAAAGTCAATCCCATCCATCGCCTGCCCTTAAAAATCATAAAAAAAAAAAGATGCAAGGAGGCTTAAAAGAAAAAATCTTTTGTGTGCTGAGAACTGTCAGTCAGGTGTGGGTCTATCTCCGAGGAAATGTGAGCCATCTTTTGAAATTGCTCTCTGAGGGAAATTGGAAAGGGGATATCAAAAATATTTGAGCAGAATGTGCCTTTTTAGATAAGGCGCCCTGGGTGCCTTTTTTGCCTTCGAGGAGCCAACCGCAGCATTTACATCCATATGACACCTCAGGCAGGAATTTAAACAAATGTTTCCCCCACGCGTGTCGCGATACCGCTCCCTTTATTGCTGTCATTTTTCCTCTTCAACTTCCGCTTCTCTTTAAGCTTTAAAACCAAAACATAAATCCCTATCTCTTTCAATCCTGCATCCCTCCGTTACCTTGTTGAACTTCTGCTATCATGTCTTTTCCTCTTCATCCTCTCTGGTGCCATCATACTCAATGATCTCTCTTCAAGCAATCAGCCGGTTGTAAGAATGTCTCTCCAGACTCTTAAGGATATTGCCTAATATCTATTTATAGGTAATCCTATTGAAAAATGGGAAGAGTGGAGGGAAAAAAATTTTGAATTAGTCATTTCAAACTTTTAAAACATGCACGTATTTGTTTCTAACACTTTTGAACATCAAGACTTTCTGAATCGTAAAGAAAACTAACATTATGTCACTGAGTGTAGGTTTTCTGCTAGCCAGAGATGAAGTAAAAGCTAAGAAATGCCAGTAGAACACTCACGGGTTGAACACAGACACGCCCACAGAGGCGCAGACACACACTCAGCCTAACAAACACAAAGCGGCCTCTGTGTGGTGCCCTAAATCGCCGGCCGGCAGCCCAAACCGTGTTTCCTGTCCAGCTTAACCACAAAAGGCAATAACACACAACCCTAATGTCACCGCTGTTAATCACACACACACGCAAATGCATGGAGGGAAAAAAAAAAAAAAAAGTCAAGTCGGAGGCTAACTCATGCGGCCTCTGGGAGAACCATCCTCTCCTTCTCTGCTCTCCTCATCCACCCAAAGATTTAGTCATCGCTCCTCATACTTTCCTCTTTATATTTATGCTTTAACACTGAGTCAGTGGACATCACGACTGTCGCTGGCATTCTGGCAAAGAAAGCATGGGGGGCGGAGGGGGGAAAGAAAAGTCTGCTGCACTCTGCTTGTCTGGCTCTTGAAGCCCAAACAGCTCGTGGGAAAAAAAACTTGAGTGTTGCTTTAGAAAAAAAAAGAGAAATAAGAAGCAGAAAGACAATGATGGGGGAGAAAAGGGGGGGGAGGAGAAGTGCATCCGGCGGATGCTGACCACCGGGTGCCCCTGGTGTTTTCCCCAGAAGGATAATGTTCATTGAGCAAGAGTATGGAGTTTTTACTATTGTCGGGCGGGGCCTCTGTTTTTACCGCGTTTGTTAAGCAATCCATAAAGGAGTCGCAGCATTTGTCTCAGTGTCAGCGACTTGGCCTGCTCTCACAACACACACACATCCACAGTGTCCCAGCTGGCTCCTTCCTATTGTCCCACACTTTGAAAGTGTCCCACCTCACCCTAAACCGTCCTGGCACTTTTCTCCCTCACTACCTTGGGAGACAGCAGTACCCTTATAACGCTTGAAGACCTGGACACCGTCTCCTATTGTTTGTGGAAGGACAGGGAATGGAATGACTGGGATCAAGAGTTAAAAGGAGGATGGATGAAGGAGGAGCAGAGATTAAAATACACTACTTTCACATCCAGGTGCACACAACAGGAACGGCCTTTTATAATATTATCAACATTTGGTAGCCTTGAAAAAGAATACCATAGTTTCATGGTATTCATACAAAAACTTATAAACCCTATGTATCTAAAGCAGAGTGCAAACAATATCACAATCTGCTGTTTAAATATTTGGATATAAAATATGACTGTTAAAATGTAATTTTTTGCTTGTTAATATGATTTCAATAGATCCTTTCTTTAGCAAACTAAAGCAAAAAGTCTTGACCTGACTGTCGTGTCGAGGAGCGATACACCTTTTTATGCACGCATCTGTTTTTTTGTTAGGAGACGCACCTCCAAAAACAGATAAAAACTGTCCCTCTTTGAATTTGCGATGAAAGTGTAACTTACTTTCAGTCGGCTTAGCAACAGGTGTGGGAGGGGCAGTGATAAATTACCTGCTGATCTACACAGCTAGAGATACTCTGGATACAGGATCCCTCTCGCAGACCGGGTATCTCTCGAAGGCGGTAAGCGGGAGCTGTTGGTGTTTCCCCTGCTCTGCTGACACTGGAATTCACCCAGCTGACATCTGACCTCCACCCAATGACCCTGTGTCATATGACCCGACACTAGTTAGCCAGGAAGGGTTGGGGGGGGACACCTTTGTCTGCTCACACACTTTCCTTCTCCTACGCGGTCACTTCTGACACTCTGAAGCTCTTGTCATCACTCTCGCTTTCTTTCATCCTGTCCTCTCTCATCCAGATCTAACCACAACGAGAAGAACAAATGCCGCCTATGCAGAATCCCCCCTCTGCCCCCTCAGAGGGTCAGCTGATCAAACTGAGTTGGGGCACTTTAGCATTCTCCTTTGGTATTTTTCTGTCTGTCTCTCCATTGCTTTTTCCTTCTCTCTGCCCCCCTGAAAACTGCTCTGCGGATGGAGACACGGTTATCAAGGCTCTCTGGGGACAGACATTATGGCCCAGACAATGGACTCCAACCCAAGGTGGTGGTAGCGGTGGTGGGTGGATGGGGAGGAGGGGGAGAATAGGGCCACAGGGGAAGACAAGAGAAGAACGGCGCATTAGTTTGAAGAGCACGGACATTCGGCTCAATTACTCCACTCTCACAAATTCTCTGTCTTCCCCCCAAACCGCTTTAATCTCACACCCCCACACACACACTTTTACATGAAGTACAGCAACACTTAAGCTGGAAGCAGAAGCGCTCGTGCAAATTAGAAACAATTGATCAACAGCTGCAAAAACGGCTTTCAGATACGGAAAAAAGTCAAATGATGAGGAGTTTTACACAAAAACATTCAGGCTCTACAGCAATCAGTGAGAATTTCAACTTTTTATTTCCCTTTTTAAATCATCTACGATATCAAACTAATGCTATTTAGTCATATGCATCAACGCGCCTCATTTTATGAAGTGCTAATTGTCCGTTTGAGTTAGGATCCCAATCTTAAAGCAAATAAAGCTGCAGCTGTGGAGCACATCCACATTTTAATTACTAATGTGTTTTTTGTTTCAGTGCAACCCAGACTATTCCTCCTAACTGCGCTCTGATGTCAGATTGCATCCTACAGCTTCCTGCTTAAACTGTTCAAAGTGTTGACATGTCAACTACTGACACACACACTCACACTCATAAAGCGAGGGGACAAATGGAGGGGTGTGAAAATCCGCCGCCGCCTTAACACCACCCTGACAGAGACCTCTTCCTCTCCTCCTCATAAACCCCCACGCCTTCTTTTCGCTTCATCTCTGGGACTCTCACTTTTCTGTAAAAACCTGCTTCTGTCTGCAGGTGAGGAATGTATCAGTTTGACCACATTGTTCCTTTATTTCATTTCATTCAGCTAGTCTAAAAAAATGACTTTTTTTTTTATTTATCATCTCCACGTTTCTTTGGTTTTTCCTCCTTTTCTTTCCGCACGTGGAAAAACGCGGGGCCATATTTACAGATTTGACTAAATTGAAACGTGCATTAAAGTTCTGCAACAAAGCAGAACCATAAGAAAAGTAAATGCTCAATAAAATAACAAATAAAATAATTTAAAGGCAAATCCTTAAAATGAAGTCAAATTATTTAGATTTTTTTCCTCATTTTAAGCCAAAAATAATTTCCAAGGTGAGTTAAAATTTTGTGGATTTAACAGGAAAATTAACAATAAGAGAACCAAAAGTCTGAAGAGGAAGTATAATGAAGAGGCGGCATGGGTGAAGGAGGCAAGCGGACACTTACTATAGAGCATCATTGCAAACCTTTGGAGCTGAAAAACACACTCATACACACACATACAGGAGTACAGTGCAAGATACCCCCCCTCTTTCAATCTTGTGTGAACACATCCAAATATGAACATGCAGAAAGTCTGAAACCCGGCCGGAGCCTCGGTGATGGAGTGCATTACTGGAAAGCAAGAGTTTTAAGCGCTCTCCTCCTAAGTCATTGTAATCCCTGCATTTATCTCCATACATTCTGCTTTTTTTATGTAATCCCTTAAATGTTTAATTCCTTCTAGCTGTTGTTATCACCCCCCTTCTCTCCCCCTCTCTTTTCTCACCCCCTTTGCATGGATTGAACGGTTTATTAAAAACACATTAAAACGAAGGGCCCCACAATCCAACTCAGGAGACCCAAGTTTATCTCAGAACAAAACATTAGTTTCACTGGTGCAAAGACAGATACTTTGATGCAATAAAAGTCAAGTGGGTAAGAGGAGAGAGGAGTGTTAACCCACGTTATGATATGTGTGAGTTAGAATTTAAATGTATTAGAGTATAATCTGCCTCATGCGGCATGAGGATCAAACAGGCATTATTTCAGGGGGTGAAAGCCACTTGTGTTGACAGTGCAGGGTTAGAGGGTTCACACCTCTAAATGAAGGCAGGCCTGCACAAACAACAGAGGAGCACAGTGAGATTAGTATTAGCATAAGGAATAACAACAAGAGGAGTGTAGAGATTGAAATAGGGATTAATATTTTTTTTCATGCGTTTAATTTGGATTATGAAGAAAAAAAAGAAATGTATTGGAAGAGGTTTTATAAATACTGATTGGAGAAAAATAAAGATGGATTTTCTTCTAAAGCGTCACAGAGCATCTAAATTTACCAGGCTGTTAGAGAAAGAGCTGACGGGGAAGCAGAAGTAAATAAAGTTGCGGTGAAAAGCGGAGATGAGATGATCAGAGGAGATGATCACACATTCTGACCGACACATTTCGCCTCTCCTTTCCAGACTGGTGCGCGCGCGCTGTTTGTAGTTAGTCTATGGAAGAATTGATCTGAAGGAAGTTTTAGTCAGGACAGGGGGGTGCCATCTGTTATTATAGCTTCAACAAACACATCCTCAAAACGTTTAGAGCTGGATTTGCCCCAGATTTGCATATGTTATCAGAACTAAAAGGAGAGGAGTGAATCATCAACTCTATCTTAACATTTCATCTCAGCCACAGTTGGAGTCAAACTCCGCTCAGTTACTCAACACAAACACACGACAAAAACACTAACTCAAGTCTTTTCTTCACACACTTTTACACATTTGCTTCTTTTTATCCTCCGATCTCCCACTTGTGTCCACTTTGCTTCCCCTGTCATCTCCATGCGCGCGTATAGAGCGCAAGGCGCAGCGCAGCGCACCGCGGCGCGTCACGTACCTGTTACACTCCTGAGGTAGCTCAGGCTCAGTGAGCATGCTGGAGTAAGGGTCCGTCTCTCTCGACAACAACAACATAAAACAGTCCGACAATGCTTCAGATGAACAAGGTTAGTCTCCCCCAAAACAAGACGGGATTGAAGTGATCCTTCAACCTCTCACACACACTGCTGTTTCTCTCTCTCTCTCTCTCTCTCTCTCTCTCTCTCTCTCTCTCTCTCTCTCTCTCCCTTCTCACACACTTCCAGCCTCACACCCTCCCTCTCTGTCTCTCTCTCAGCCTCTGTCCCTCCTCTTCTCCCTCCCTCGCTGTAAGCTGTGAGATCTGGGCTCAGCTCTTAAAGCGACAGAGGCAGAGTCTCCCTCGCTCAGAGGAAAGAGAGAGAGAGAGAGAAAGCAGAAGGGAGGGTCTACTTGACCAGAGGTTCTGTTGGTCCATCAGTGTAAATGCACAGCAGTGCTGCCCCCTTCCTCAGCTCCATCCTTCATTCCCCTTTTCTTCCCTAACATTTTTTTTTTTCACACTTTGATGTACATTTGCCAGAGGAGTGTTTTCTTTCCAATACCCGTACTTTTTTGTTTTAGAAACAAAACTAAAAAATATGAATTTGCCATGGAAACACGCTTAAAAATATATTCCAAGAAAACAAAAATAGTGTTTCTGTCACTAAAGTTATTCCCAAGCCATTTAAGGTTACAAAGCTAGAGAGCTGAAGGCTGGAATATTCTCAGCAATCCAAGTTTGGTTACCAACACTTAGCACTTTTTAAATATGGATTCTGAGGCAGTACATCTTTATAAGGGGACGCATTTTTACATTAGAGCAGGGTTAACCAATTAAAAATCAATGGGGTCCGAATAAAGAAAATCATCAACCAGTAAAGGTCCGGAGACATTTTTAATTATAATCTGTTACTTTAAACCAAACTTAACACTGAAATAAAATGAGGTGTTTATGCATCCATGTTATAAATTAACTTTTAAGATATATATATATATATATATATATATATATATATATATATATATATATATATATATATATATATATATATATATATATATATATATATATATATATATATATATATAAAATTCCATTTTAAAATCTAAAGTGTTTTTTTTTAAGCAGAGAATAACAATCTTTCAGTTTGGTATAATGACAATTTCCTGATTCACATTTTTATAAAACACCTGAACTGACCGTTGTTTGTTATTGTTATTTCTTTTTTTGCTTTCTTGTTTTATGGCTTAATGAGAGCTGTGGGTTTTAGGCTGCCCTGCAAGACTAATAAACCTGGGTTTAAAAGCCATTCCAAAGCGCATACCAAGGTGCTCATTCGTGAGCCTGGATCCATGTTTATTTTTGATAATGTTCATGGTGGGGAATCCTGCCTCACAGCAGCAGGTTGAGCCAAACATATTCAAAATGTGCAGGGTCATTGTAGAGCACACCATTTGGCTTGTCTGTTACCAATTCACAGCAGTTCTTCCAGCAGTCCACACTTTCTTTCAATTTTTCTCATCATCTTCTCCGTCTTTCCCATCGCCCGGCTTGCCACAGGTTTGCCTGCTGTGTCTAAAAGCAGCAGCAGCAGCGACCCCGACTGACACAGCCCATTGAGTAATTTGTATGACGTGTAGCCTGGTGCCGGCCGCTATGTAGGAAGGGGCGGAGCTAGATGGGGGACCAGGGGTGGCCATGGCCACCCTTAGCCAATCATTGGCCACCCCTGTGGCCACCCTACCATTTTTTGTATACACTACTCAAAAAAATTAAAGGAACACTTTGTAATCAGAGTATAGCATCAAGTTAATTAAACTTGTGGGATAATGATTTGGTCAGGTAAGTAGCAGAAGGGGTTGTTAATCAGTTTCAGCTGCTTTGGTATTAATGAAATTAACAACAGGTGCACTAGAGGGGCAACAACGAGACGACCATCAAAACAGGAATGGCCACCCCTCAGTGTACATTGGTTATTGCCTGGCCACCCTTATAAAATTTTTCTGGCTACGCCTCTGTATAGAGGGCTTTACCGTACAAACAGGAGAAGCGGCGCAAATGAATTTAGACACTGCCGCCGGACAACATGCGGTATTTTATAAATGTTTTAAATCAGGTTGGGTCCCCAGTCCGCTAATCCGTGACCTCTGCATTAGAGTCACAATCCGACTGTGATGAAACATGTGCTATGTTGAGTGGTAACATGGGTAAAGATGAGGATCACAACTGTGTTCACAGTCCAAACGTGTTTGAATTAACTCTGATGATTTTTATGTCCTATGCTGCTAGAGACACATCCTAAAGATGACATAAATTGACATACTTTAAAGAGTTATAGTCGGGTGCAGGGCGTTTCCTTGAATTCTGCAAAAGCTGAATCAGAACCTCCGATTGCTTCTAATAGATGAGAGCAAAGCTAAAAAAAAAAAAATAAAAAAATGAAAGATTGAAAGTTTTATTTATTGTTCGAGGAAAGCAAATCAACCCCGGCAAAAAAACAAAAACGTTTCAATAAATTGTGAAAAGGGCATCAGTAGCTCGTAGGAGTGAAATGGTAAAGGAATATTTACTGGAAATGTTCCATACAGCTCTCTCCTTTTGGAACGCACGTGTACCAAATGAATACAGCTTTGTTTTAGTTCTGAACACACTGAGAATACCTCTGTACAGCACTAAGTGTATAGAGGTACGCTCTGTTGCACAGCTTTACAGTCTGCAATTCATGGAAAGTTAGGGTTTAACCAGTGACAGTGACAACAGAGAAAGAAAGAACTAAAGCAAAGGTTTGTCAGCATAATTTTTTCAACATCTTTTTTTAACTTTACTTCAGTAATACCACTGGTATAGTAAAAAAAAGAATCACCTTAGGTACAAATCCTGCTGCCTACACTGCAAAAACAATCTAAAAGTAAGTCAAAATTTCTTTAATTAAGTGCATTTCCCCTTAATTCGAGTAGGTAAATAAGATGATTTTCCAATGGAATGAGTATTTTTACTCTTAAAATAAGATAATATGCACTTGTAATAAGACAATGCAGTTGCTTTTTCTTATTTTAAATGTGAATTATCTTGTTTGATTGGAAAAGTGTCTCATTTATCTTCTCAATTCAAGAACAAATACATTTATTTTAAGAAAAATTACTTATGTAGACTTAGATTTTTTTTCCAGTGTGTTGTAGTATTTATTGAGCCTAAATTGCTTCACAGCAGCAATTTCCCTTTGAGGAGGGGAGAATATCCCGGCAACCTTTAAGGAGCTTTAAAAGGGATGGAAACATTTTGTTTTCTTGAATATGTGTGCCATCATGGTTCAAACATTCTTAAGTAGTTTTATTGTTCAACAATAAAAACAAATTCGTGTTTCACTGTTGATTTGAAGTAAGAAAAATTATTCTCCTAAACAGAGCCTCCCCAACATGCACAGTACATATTAAACTTACATTTGTGAACCGTTTTACACCTACTGATGCAAAATAGAGATATTTCTCTGAATGTTTTCACCCAAAAACTGTGAAATTTTTTTTGCACTGAGCAAAGTTCTATATAGAACATAAAAAACGCAATAATGTTGATCATTTGGAATGCTTTTGCTATATTTTACATTTTTATGCCGCCATCAATCTATCATGCTGACAATATTGTGCTTCAGACAGTGAGCTCTTCACATTTTGGTTCCTCGTGCCTTAAATCAGATACGCCCAAAGCAGAGATGAAAGAGCAGCAGCACGTGTGACATCGGACCGTTGATGAAGTGAGCATAGCAAATGAGGCTGAACATCTCAGACAACTGGAGTGAACTGTTTAAACCCTTTTAGTCTGTTTTCTTTTATTTTACATCACTGCCTCTTAGCTGGCTGTTGGAAAGTGTCCTCAGTCAGGTGAAAAATTATCTTAAAGTAGTTCATGAATAAAATGTATAAAAGAACAATCTCATTATGAAAACATAAATTGGATGGATGGATCATTTCAAAGGTATATGTTATCTCATGTAATGCCTTAGACTAACCCATGCTTAATTGGTTAACTTGTGTTGTTCCTTTCTCTTTCACTGTCCCTTTGGTTCCGGAGTGTTAGCAAACCAAAGCCGTTTTGTGCTCAACTTTGATACACATCATGCTTTTCATATGATTGGCTATGCTAACAGAATAGAGCAGCAGAACAGTGGTTGTGAAACAAACCTTGAAACAAGATTAATATAAGGTATCCTGAGGTTGAGGCCTTTGAATACCTTTAATGGCTGCTGAATTCCTAACAATGCCATATAAAAAAGGTCATGTTGCTTTGTTAAAATAATTTCTTTATTTTCTTTCAGTTTAAGCTTGAAGGGTTGGTTATAATAAAGAAAAGAGGATATGGTAGCTGTAAAATAAAAGAGGGGGGATGAAAGATGTTGATCACAGTTTGCTTTATCTCTGCCTCCAACCTTATATGTTTTAGTTGTACGGTACTGTGCATGCTTAGATGCTCCTAAATGGCATTTCTAATGCATTTAAGAGAATTAATAATGGACCTCTGCGTGTTATTAGGTTCCTGTCATTACGATTTAACACTGATGTGAACGTGAAGGGGGGAAGCCCCTCTTATACCATGGCTACTTGCCAAATACCAAATGTAATGAACCTGAATTCATGTTCTCTTGAGGCAGTCTTGAGATAAATGTCATTTTATTACTGCACCAGCATTAATGTCAACATATTTGAGCAATCAATCTCCATCTCTTTATGCAGTCACTTCTGCACTGCTGTGTTTAAGCATAGCTATAATATTTGTTACCGTCTTTTCAAACAGAAGGGGGGGGGGATTCTTCTATTCATTAAAAAAGATATATCTTATCAATATCTTCCTTTTTATAACCCTTTGAATTGAACACTGTGACTTGCAGGGTATAACCTACCAGGACTCAGCTGAACTCTCCCAGCAGGGATTAAGCTGAAGATATCTATAAACTCACACAGACAGCACACATATGCAACCTGACTGAAACCTTGACCAATCCGCCACGCCCTTCATGTCCTCAGGTGTGGGTGCTACGTGCATGTGTTTGCCTTAGCAGTGCATGCTGCTTCTAGCCCTTAGAGCTGTCAGTCACTATTAAGGGTGTGCGGTCTGGGTGTCACACATATGGCCGATCCAGCTATTGTTCTGGAGAGCTCAGAGAAAAGCGGAGCTGACGGGCTGCCACTTCTGCCGTTCTTTAACACAGACACACACACTCAGAAAGTACCACACACAAATGAAGCGAAGATAATCAGTCTTGTTCCTAACATGCGTTTGCATGAACTAGATGCTCTACACATTCATGATATCTGAAACGTATTTGTAAATTTCAGGTATAACACTGAATGTGGAGCGTG